CTCATGCGCAACCGAGGTGTTGAGGCGGGTAAGGAGCTCGGGAAGGAAGAGTTCAAGAACTCCGAGGAGATGGAGCGTGACCTCGAACTCAATACTTGTCTGAATCTCCGCTGGACCGTTGACCGCGTCGGCTCGGGCCTTTATGGAGTTGGCGATCTCGCGCTCATTCTGCACAACAAAATAGTCAGGTTGGGTTTTGACTCCTCTATTGCCGAGATGCGCGTTCCGGCCGACGACGATGAGAGGGACTACGTCGAAGGCGTCTTGAATAGGTCGGACCCACAGATAACAGCTTCGGCTCTTCCCCCTTGAGCCGCGAGAGACGTGCCGAGCTCCAGAGGGCCTTCATGGATATGGTCCTTGAAGGGGAGAAAGAGAAGAGGGAAGAGCTCGGTCTCAAGTTCATTGACACTCTCGCCGGCATCACCGTTGAGCACTTCAGGGTCCTAACTCCGGCCGAGATCAAGAAAGAGGTTGTTGAGTATGCTGATAGGATGACTGCTGCTGCGGCCGAGATGGATGTTGATGCGCCCCGGGTTGAGACCGAGCTTGTCACGGTGACTGAATCAGCCGACCCGGGGACAGTGAAGATTACAGTTGACTCCGACGCCCTTGACGCGGCGATCTACGCTAAGCTTAGCGAGCAAATCAGAGATACTTCAAGAGATGCCGACGACGATGATTCGGAGAAAGTTGGGGAGGACCCGGCGAAGGTGTCGGAGGATCTTGGTGAAGGTGCAGGTGAGCCCGAAGGTTCTGGCAAAGAAGCTGGTGGATCCGCCCAGTAGGATTGTTTTTCTTCTTCTGTTGCTTTTAGACTGTTTGGTCACCTTGTTTATTTTAGTTGAAACTTTGTTGTGTCGGACGGGGATCGTCAAGTCGACACGTCCTAGCTTTCCGCATTTTTATTGTGTTCGCAAGTCTTTCCCCGGGGTTTATAATAATAAAATTTATCTTTTTAGTTTACACTTCCCTTCTCTTGCTTTCCTTTATTTTTCCAAACATCACGATTTTCAAACAGAAGTTCAGGGGCGAAGTTCGAAAATGGCCCGACCTTTTTATCGCGGCTTGAGACTAAGTACGTATGGACAAGTTTGTTCGACTAACCGCTTTGAACGTGAATAGAATTCCGTTGATCGTAATCGTTTGTTTACAAAAAATCCAGCGAAAATATATTTTAGACTCGAAAGTGCTCGATTTGAATTCACGAGTTATCTTAAGTACAAAAGATTTCGACACCAAGATTCTATATAAAAGATATTTGATTTCACAAAGACTGTCACGTTTACAAAACATTCCAGGAAAGATTATCATTGGAAAACTCGTCTTACTTGAAAAAGGAAAATTTTCTGGCTAACCGACTCTCTTCAGCTTTGCAATTTCGCCCGGGGAAGCTCACTTAGCGGATTCGACTTGCTACGCGGTAGCTCTTTTGCGGAACGTCGGCGCGGAGACCGACTAGTGGCACTGAGGCCGTTTTTGCAGAACGTCGGTGCAGGGACCGACTAGTGGCACGGAGGCCGGTTTTTGC